CATGCAGTCCCACCGTCATCTCGGCGCACCCCTCACACGGCTCGTGGCCCCATTCCACCGAAGGCCCCAGCAACAGGGTTCACATGCAGTTCTACCTTCATTTCGGCGCACCCCTCACACGGCTCGTGGCCCCATAGGGAGCTCCACCGAAGGCCACAGCGGCAGGGTTCGTATGCAGTTCCGTCCCCATTACGGTGCCCTTCTTGCACGGTTCGTGGCCCCACAGGGAGCTCCACCGAAGGCCACATTGGCAGGGGTCGCATGAGTTTGGGTAAGACGTCGCTCCGCTGGACCCCCCAGCAACCCTCGAAAGTGGCGACAGGCTCGCAGATCGCAGCCCCACAGGGATGGCCAGGCCTTTTCTGGATTTGGGTAGGACGTCACTCCGCTCGACTCCCCAGCAGCCGTCGAAAGCGGCGACAGCTTCGCAGATAGCTGACCCCCAGGAATTACGAGGTCTCATTTGACTCTGGGTTAAACGTCGCTTCGTTGGAACCCCCAGCAGCCCTCGAAAGTGGCGGCAGTTTGGCAGATCGCAGCCCCCCAGGAACGGCGAGGTTTCATTTGAGTTCTGCGTAGGACGTCACTCCGCCGCACCCCCCAGCAGCCCTCGAAAGTGGCGACAGTTTCGCAGATCGCAGCCCCCCAGGGATGGCGAGGTCTCATTTGAGTTGAGTCTGGGTAGGACGCCAACCTCCCTGCGGCACTCTAAAGTGGCGACAGTTTCGCAGATCGCAGCCCCCCAGGGGTGGCCAGGTAGGAGGCAAGCTGGCACACAGGAAGGAGCGAGGCGAGAGGCAGGAGAGAAGAGGATAGGAGGCGGGATAAGGAGGAGGAAGGACGGAGTCCACAGTGCTCTAGTCAAAACGAGCACCCAACGCAGGAGGGTTGGGAAAAATGCTCTCGACAGTCAGATCGCTGAAATAAGGTCCATTTCGATGTCGGCAGAGGCTCGGTCGTTCCTTCGGTTTGCATGTGTTCCGCTCCGTGTTTGGTGGCGAGCCCCTCCAGTGCTCCTTGTTGTAAGATTTAGCACGCACGGGTTCGTTGTGTCGATCAGGGCGGCTGCTCTAAGGAACGGGGCTGCAGGAGGGGCTCGGTTCTTCGCGCCGCTGTCAAGACACCGTGTATTTGCCCTACGGAAAGAATGGGCACGAAGGCTGGCACAACTTCCTGCCCATTTTGCACTGGATTCGACACTGCGCCCAGCTGGGCCGCCGCGTGTGCCTCGTCTTTCCTGTCGCTGTGGCGCTTGCCGCGGCAGGGAACGCTCAGTGCGCCTGTTTTGTTCCCGCTCTGCTGAGGCCACTTATCAGATGCCCTCTTCGCCCGCGCGCTGAAAAAAAAATTGAACTGGATTCGCAGTCCGTGCCGCCGCGGGCGGAGTCGGTCTGGGGCAGCGTTTGCTGCTGGGCATCGTCTCCACTTTCTCCGTATTCGTTTCGGGCGTTCACACAGGCCTCGGAAAAAATAGCGAACACTCATGCCACATTCAGCTCTGAACGCCTCCCCCTCCCCCCAATGTTCAAAGTTGGCGGTGGGTCTGATGAGTTGCACCTCGACCGCAGTCTCCCCCGCGCGTGCCAACCTTGAGTTTGGGGGGCAGGGGGGGTGTTCACTCATTGTTTCCCTCCACCGCAGCGAGGGCTCGACCTTTAGCGACGAGCCGACAAACTGCAAAAGCACTGTACTTTCGCAGCTTCGTGCTGGCTTCTTGGATCCGCGCTCGAGCCCCCAGGCGGCGCGCCTCCGGCGCCGCCCCGGGCGCGCCCCGACTCCAGCGCAGAGTCGATCACAGCTTGCGCGGGGCTTCGAAGCTGTGTCTGCCGTTTTTTCGTGCTTCTGCCACCAGTCTTAGGTCGGGCGTGTCCCCTACAGGGGGATTTTCGACGAAAGAGAAAACATACCCCAAACATACCCCAAAAAGGTCAAAAGATATTCGAAAGATTATCCCCAGATTATCCGTAAAGGCTTCGCCCCCTGCCGCCGGCCCCCTCTCTCGGAGAATGGGCCATGGAAGAGCGAAGTCATGAGGCTTTGGCTTTGCCGTGAAGCAGTGTCGGGATTTATTTGTTTTTCGACCCTGACCCTGCCGATCTGCGTGAGGGGTGCCGCCGAATTTCAGACATGTGGCAAATCCCTTTTGTTTTTGGACCCTGACCCGACGGATCTGCGTGAGGGGTGCCACCGGATTTCAGGAATGTTTCAAATCCCATGTGTTTTTCCCGGAAAGGGCATGAGCCCAGGGTTCTCTTTTAGTTGGTAAACCTAATCCCCCGGTGCCTGCTTGAGGGAGGCCGGCGAATTTTTTCCCTGATAAATAACGAGGTCGAAGGAGGCCGGCGAATTAAAATTTGAGGATGTCTCGAGCGAAACGCTTGTTTTTGAAATCCCGATCGATAAATCACAGGGTGCGGGCCACTTTTTCGTGTGTTGAGGATGTCTCGAGCGAAACGCTTGCTCCGCAGAGTTTGCCGAGGATGTCTCGAGCGAAACGCTT